TACCTCACTCGTTGATACTGTTGGTACAATCATGAAAAAAGTACCGTAGCGTTTATGAACTGCTAACCGTAGCAGGTACGGTACATTATAAAATTGCATCATTCACTAGTCCTTATTTGAACATATTGTCATATTGTTGTTCATTGAGCAGGTCGATTGATATATACTGATCACCATGTATCTTCTCTGGAGGATACTCTTCCAGTTTCCCTTGCTGGCTTGGGCGCGTACCCAAAGCCGCATAGACACGACAACGACACGATACAGATGTGCGCAGTGTTGAAGAGTACAAACTACGCGATGATATGTCGTTGTCGTGTCTAGTGTAGATGTGGCTTTAGAGGGGTCTTTGGGCCTTTGGCACCTAAGAACCACTTGGAGTACTTGATATGTATTTATGTAAATAATAATTTTTAATTTAAGATACGGTGGACTAAGTGTCCATAAATTACCGTACTTTATATTACAACGCATTATAGTTGTCATGTTCAATGTAGGTTCATTTGTACTTCTATGCATATGTATTATTTGGATGCTAATTTATTTTAACACGTTTGCCATTAATTAAGTATTATTAGTAATTTTAGCTTTCATGGGGTCGGCCGTGTATATAGCATATAGGCCTGTTCAACTGTGAATGTTGCGGCTGTGGCGTGTGTAGACCTATGCATTCACTGTATTGTATATATTTTTCGTCGTTATTAAAATAACATTTTATCATCATAAAATTTAGCAGACTGTTGATTTTGTGTTGTGTGGGATTGTGTTTCTGTCGTATGATGCAAATATAGACTTACTGAATACAAAGTCAACAATAGCAATTTAGTTTATTAAATTATGAAACACTGTGATTGAGGTTGTGGAATTGCATTGTAATGTGATCTCAATGAAGCACTGATGTTGCTAAATAGGTTTGAAGACAAAATGGTTGAGTTAGGGTCACTGAATTATGACAATGCGCATGACATGTAAGGAAGTATGTGCTCTATTATGAATTTCTTAACTATTTACACTACCTATATTATTTTCAATAATAATAATTTGCAATATATATATATATATATACTTATATATACATATACATACATATATATATATTATATATATATATATATATATTATATATATATATATGGAGCCTTTGCCATGCATTCATCCACAATACAACTCTTATTTTATAAAACCATAACTTACATAATTCATATAAATAGACCTAATGATGAAATATGATGATCACGATGCTAACCATATTGCATATTTACTGTAGGCCTATAATAATACTATAATGCGAATGTTGTATGTTTAAAGAGATTACAAAATATTGTTTGATTGGTCATAAATAGTCTTGGAACTAGCATTAGTTAGGTAGAAACTGACAACATCTCGCAGGTCAATAAGAGGAGTGGGTCTCTCTGAATTCGTCTCATGGGAAAATCTCATCTAAAATGGAAAGCCATCATATCCCATTCCAATGATACCGGGATTAATTGCGGATGCTCGTTATAAAACGCGCAGCAAAACACTCGTAAGTCCCAGGAGACGCGGCCTTGCGATGTAAGTTAGAGGAGATTCAAAAAGATACACTTTCGAAAGAGATTTTGTGCTGAAAAAAGAGAGTTGAAGGATTTTGAGGTGCAGTAGGTGGTTTATTGATGATCAAAACATGTAGGCCTATTTCCTTTTCAACCAGTCCATGCATCAACAGTCATTCATAAAATCAACGTAACGAGAAGCAAACAATGTTTTGATTTATTCTATACATAAGACGACCTTTTGCGACCGGAAACGTCATGTTCGATTAGTACAATATCTAAGATTTCCGTTGATATAACAAACCACTTCACACATAGCTAATGGCCTGGTGACCTCCGTGATATTTCAAGTTCATTAGGGAAGAACGTCCTAAAGAGTTGGATTTATGAAACAAATCTTTATGATACTTGAATCTCCGTTATTAAATTTATGCAGTAAGCAAAAAGGTACATCGTAAGCCTGTTTGACCTGACCTCTTAGTGATCCAGAACTATTTGATGTGCGTTCACACGGCTTCCACGATCATCATTGGAATAGTTTATTCTCTCTTCTGCTGTATTATTATTATACTGTATTTTCATTTCCAATAAAACCAATTCAGTATGCTAGCATATTGAATTGCTTCACTTGAGCCAAATTGCTTGTTACATTAAAGATGTTATTGTCCCTTGAAAATGACAAAAAAAATCATTAAAAAAATAATTTTGAAATGAACTTGATCATTTTGCAGTGACATAGAAATTATTAACTTGAGCATGGATATTATTGAATTAAAAAAAATAGTCTTTTATACTGAATAGGCCTAATGATAAAAATCATAAAAACACTTCGACTGAAAGTGTTTCTCTCATTTTTCGCTTTAAAATTATGGATAAATATTTTTTAATACACTAATTATTATGTTCAAGTTGATCATTTTTATGTTACTTCAAAATGAGCAAATTAATTTAAAATATGATTTTTTGATATTTTTGTGTATTTCTCATAAGATAATACATAGGTAAAACAAACAAATATTTAAAAAAAATTATGAATTTAAACATTTGATAACAAATACCATATGGGAATATGCTATTTTTTTTTAAACAAAAGTCTACGCTACTGAACGTTTTTATATGTTGCTAAAAGTCACTACAGAAAGTCAGGTAGCCACGTTATCACACGTCATACTCCGACAACCTGCACAGATTGTGCATAAAACACTCATAATAACGACATGTAAATTATAATAACAACATAATTTGATATCCGCGCATGATCAATAGGTTCGCCTATGGTATGTGATAAAGACATATATCTAAGATATACAAGCATTAAACCTTTTCATATCACTTTCTTGTATGCAGTTGTACTACTTATAGTTAAAAAAACAGAAATAGTGGTTGTACGTTAAATTCATTGAGGTCCGCAATGCGTGTTTGCGTCGAAAACGTACGGTAGTTTTGTAGTGTCATTTAGTCTGCCTGTTTGTCATGAAGGTTATGTTAACATGCTAATACCGTACTGTATGGTTTATAGTCGCCCGAGAGTCTTAGCATTCACCGGGCACATCCAGATAAGGTACCCTGCAGACGATACGATCGACTACAAGGCAACTAATCACAGGATAAATTGTTCAAGATAATTTAATTTTTTGGAGGCAGGAAAGGATGAATAGATGGAAGCTAATCAAATCTGGCTTTGATTATCATAAAGTGCAATAGGCCTATTAACATTATGTTTTGTCGTCTGCTGATTAGCTGAGCGAAATTATCGGGTTAAGCCGAAAACCGAGAAAATTGAAAAAAATGCTTCATTGTTTACAGTCTGTTGATTATTTAGTATACACTTGAATTCAATCACATGTAGGGTACATTTATTGAAAATAAAGTCGTTTGCCTATTAGGCATAGGCCTATTATTGTAATGAAATACAGTAATGTGCGCCATGAAGTCACGCGTTTTACTTCGCTTGTGCATTTGCGTATAACGTGGTTTCGAGGGAATACGTACATTTGCATGTCTGTTCGCAATACTAATTAATTTCATATGCGGTCTATGAATATTTTCTTTACCGCAACTTATTACAGTAGGACCCAAGATATGTGTACGATTCAGTAAGTTCCTCGCACGAATACACAAAAGGGTGTGGGGAGGCATTTCGTGAGACCATACCCACCACAGCCCACCATGGTTGAGGGTGAGGTGCGAAAATGTGAGGAAATAGGCCTAGCTGGCCGGAAATGACACTCTTATATAGTAAAGTCATCATCATAACATCACCATATTTTATCAGCAATTTTCGGCTATCATAGAGATCTATTAATCCCCGTATCGTACCATAGAAAATAAAACTTAAGTGTCTTTGATGCACTTACTTTACTTTACCTACGTCGTGTGCCGAAAATCTTGTACTTTTTTCTCATACTTCTCAAATTATACCGTAACAATAGGACGCGCACTCGAGTCGTGTTGGTGATACCGGTGTCTTGCTATAAGATGTACAGTACTCAGAAGACTGTACAGCGCTTTCTCGTTGAAACCTGGGTCTATGCACTTCATTTCAACAAATTCAGACATCATATTTACTTATGAAATTACATTGCAGTTGAAACGTAGGGGACCAACCCCTCCCCCTTAAAATATGTGGGGGGACGTGTCCCCACTTCCATGATCTGCGCCCATAAGCTCACCAAATCAATGACGTCAGCTGTTAAATATCTAATGAGATGTTAATTTTCCAAAATGTTGCTAGGCCTATCATTCACTCACGTCATAGGATGCTGAAGCGTCATGATACGAACTGTCATATTCTCTACTTAAACACAAAATTCTTTGATTCGTTCAGGTCTAAACTAAATATCATTCCCAAAGAATGATTGTTACGAAACCCCTTTGGTGCCACAACGAGTAGGCCAAATGTTAACTTCAGCGTTAGTAATCCGAAATTTCGGAATACTATCTGAAGGTAACATATTATAGTGACACCAATGGATTTTCGTACAATTGAAAAAATAATCGCACAGGATTAGAAAGTAAAAACTATACACTTTTTGTTAAAAGAACCAGTAAAATTTTGCCCAGGCTCAGTGTTCTTATTTTTTGGCCAATTTCAGGCTCAAAATGTTCTTATTTTGTTCTTACTTTTACACACTTTTCAAACAGAGAAAATTATTACTTTACAGTCAGTATATTATTTACTGTATTATAGGTGGTATTTCATAGTAATACCTACTGCACACAAGGTAAAGATAGATTTGTTGGTATTATATTTTTTTTAAATAAAAAACCTCATTTGACAATTTATCTCAGCCTCAATTTGTTCTTATCTTGTTCTTAATCTTTAAGAGATTTCAGCCTCAGTGTTCTTATAAAATCTGTTCTTATAAAAAAAAAAAGTGTACTGTTATTACGTTGAGAGGTGCTAGAAGTCGCAAGGGGCGCATTCGTGGACGATTGGCTGAGCAGAGTACAACTTGTATCGTTTAAATGAATAGGCCTACAATCTGTACCGATTTACAGGGAGAGAAGGATCGACTCGCTAGGCATTGTCATAAAAAGCCCGTCTTTTTATTAATTAGAATATTTTCCAAGACTGGAACGAGTGAAAGTGTGTAGAAATAGTAAGTATATAGACCTATTTTTTAAACTGTAACTAACACATTTCGGCATGCTGGCTTTGGCCCCACTGATTCTAATCACAAGGGGCCTCTGGGCCTTCCGTTTTGCGGATTTGCCGTAGTCACGAATGATACGGTACGTCAGAGGGGAGCCTGAACCACAGAAGGGGAGGGAATCCATGTGACACAGGAACTAGATGGATACAATCTTAGTCCTCGATGAAAAAATATTGTTAGAAGATTGCGCCAAGGCCCGTCCACTCCCAGATACAATTGGTGTCTCACAAATATTAGAGCAATATCTTGCGCATTTTGTGTATTATGGTATAAAACACTTGGTAAGGGCGTTCTCAGTTTTCATAAAGCTAGCTATCATTAGGCCTATATAGAGAAGGGTTATCAGTGTTGTTTTAACGCTAGGGGACATGATACCGTACATGAACTATTAATTGTAAAAAACGGCTTATGTTGTGTAGACTGGACTTTAGCTGTTTGCTAAAGATTATTGTCAAAAATGGTGTGGATGTTAAGTATTAGTCTTTTTGTTTGTAAGCCTCGGTTACTGTTTCGATCAAACGATTCGGACTAATCGGTTCCAAAAAGTGAGGGATCAGGCCTACCTCTGTCTCTTATACACATCTAGATGTGTATAAGAGACAGATTATACCGTAACAATAGGACGCGCACTCGAGTCGTGCAAATCAAATCAAATCAAAGCAGAACCTTATTTTTCCATTAAAAACAAGTAAAATGAAAATTCTTTTTCCACTGGCAAAAAAACATGAAACACTTAAAAATACTACAAAAGCAGCATTTAAATAACATTGTAAAAACATACGCCAAACATACAAAAATCGTCCAAACCTCTTCTCTAAACTGGTCGTCCTATACACGGATCGCCTTATGCGTCAGCATACGGTATATAAAATGTAACACGTTAATAGATTAATACTAAATCGTCTTGCGACAAACCGGTCGGGAATCGAACCCGGGACATTCTACTGCCAATGCAGTCCCCTTAACCACCTGGGTCTTTGGGGCTTTTGTTGGTAGTTCGCATCCGATTGTGGGTAATTTATTTCGCCCTCTCGGTATGCCAATACAACACTAGTATTTGATGCACAATGAAACATAGCTAGATAAATAATTTGAATGCTTGAGCACGATGGTAATTGTGGCATTTATTTAGCCTACTATGTGATCAAATGTGCTATTAAAACCAAAAATGGTGTTAAACTTGATCAGAATTCACTTCAATCATGCTTCAATCAATGCACGATCAATAACGGTATACTGCCCTCATCGATCCACTGCTCTAATCGTATAGTCTAAAAGATGCAGAAGACCTCATTCAGTCGTCGTGCATTTGATGGAGTCACGGACTTATTTTAAGAGCTATGATATAGCATTGATATGAGCAGAGATATCGAAGTAATGGGTTTCACCTGTGTTAGCATATGATTTTGCTACAGAACTTCGAATCGTCTGTGTATCGATCTTCGATTTTAACCGGCTGCGCCGCCAAGTCGCGTGAACTGTTTTCCATGATCATTGATCGACCTGAAACGCACCTGAAAGTCAAAGAGACGAAAGCCGAGGTAAAGGGGACATATCAACAAAATATTTCTTAATCAGTGTTGTTCTGTTACTTCTTTCGTGGATATACGGTAGTCGACACAAGAGTTGACCGAGCAAGAGCAAACGCTCCTTCGGAAGAATTTAATTTAGTATTGGATTTGCGACAGCCGTAGAGTTGGTATGTATGCCGTGGTTTGATATTTTAAGGCGTTACTTTCTTTATTATCCGTATATTTCCGTAGCCAATACTGTTCACATTAATTCGTTTGCACTTTCGTTTCTACTACCTTGTACACTATGATTGACGGTCAATTTTAGGTCTTTACGCCGTTAGATGTTGTGTGTAAATTGGATATGCTATATCAAACCAAATGTGTCAACAATAAATTACAATTTATGTAGCATTCACTAATCCGAGAATGTTCAATATCTTCGTGGTCTATGGGGTGGAAAATTTTCAATCAGAAACAGCTAGGTCTCGTGTGTAGTACTGAAAACAGTGTTTTTATTATATTATGTTTTTAGTGATAATATAAAGATAGGCCTACATGCAACGAATTATCAATTATTATTAACAAAGGGTAAGGCTCGTTGGAACACACGGAGGATACAATTATTCAATTACATATCTGTGCGAGAATGCAGCTGAACGATCGAGTGTCGTACCAACAGTTGGAACCCTAATTGGAAAATGCCAAAGTACTTGTGCCGTTCGTAGTAGTCCTCATATATAGTGGAGTACGGAGCGTCAAGAATTTGCTTCACATCAGAGTTGATATTCAAGCTGAGCTGCCATCACTGCCAACCATTGGATCGCTGCTTATTTATACGTTAACTGACGCTTCCCAGGCTGTTTTCAAAGGTGTGCGACCGGGCACCAGTGCACCCGCGCCGAGAACCTTAGCCGTTTCCTGATTGTCATTTAATAGATAAGTTACAACGACGTTACCTACTCCGGCGACGGTGTTTCCGAATGTATTACTATATGTACATACTATTTTCGGAATAACTACGTTCTTGTCATTGGATGATTGAAATTGAAGTTCTTTACAAGGGGAGGTGATTGATAAATTAATTAGGTTTGCATACACTTTGGACGAGTGCCTAGTTATTGATGAATTACATCGCTACAGGGAAGCCCCAAGATATCGTAATTATTTCTGTCACTAACAATTCTCTGACAGTTTCTGTGCTTAGATAATATCGCTGGAACGTGTATGTATATAAACTTCGGCATAATAATTTGCCACAATATCAATACGTGTGGAACTTTGCATGCAATTGTATTAGCATATACGGTATCGCGTGTGAACGTTACTGTTGATTTTGTCGACTGCAAATTTCTTCGCAATCGTCAGTCATAAACAATTTTTAGTACTAATTCTTTTCGGAAAGGCGGATAAAGATAATCGAGCAAAGGTTCTAATCCCAAGGTCAATTGTTAAATCCTGGCCAAAAAGTATATCAGGACTTTCCTCATTACCAAACACAACTACCAAAGTTTCATATAGAAAACAACAAACAATTTACAGTTACTAGGAGCGAAACAAAATGTTGCGCACCTATTTTCCTTCCATCAAAAGTAGGTCTATGTATTTCCAATTCAATTCAGGTTTATTCACATAATGCATATAGTATTACAGATAAAAGTAGCATTGAGTAGATAGGTTTATGCTATTAAAAAAGCAATTGTTAGTGAGAAAATGTTCGGTTATTCACTTTTATGTTATCTAACCTATTGTATAATTATATGTGAAAAAGATGTCCTTACTAGTTGAACGATTACTTGCAAACAAATTGCCATTTAACATTCTATTAACCGATGCAAAATACTAATAGAGTCTAAGACCTCTTGACCTAGGTGGGTGGATGTGGTGCTCAGAGTTTATTTAGTAGAATCATGTCAAAACACAGGTTTGTCATTATAAGCACTATAAGAAGGATTGCTGCATTATGTAAGGCCAAATTAAACAAGACTCTTTAGTTGGGCCAAGCGGACATACCGGTAGTCGTTTTATCGATTGAAATTTACCAGCTTAGAATCAATACAATAATGACGAACACATTATCAACCTGCTACAATACACAAACATTAACAAAGAGGGTGACTGAGACTCATTCATAAGTGAGACGGTGGTCGTGATAATGCTGGTGACGAAAGTGAGGATGATGAAAGTAATGTGATTGAGATAGTCTACAGTGTCTTATAAGTTAAATAACGGTGGTGGTTGTGATGATGATGGTGGCGATGACGATGGAGGTGGCGATGAAGGTGATGGTTGTGAGAATGATGGTGGTGATGAAATGGTGTTGAAATTGTTGATGATGATGATGGTGGTGATGAGTGATGATATTGGTGATGATGGTAGTGGTGATAATGATGGTGTTTCAGATGAAGTTGGTGGTAGTTACGACTGTAATGGTGACATTGGTAATGATGACGGTGATATTGGTGATTATGGCAATGGTAGTGAAGATAGTGGTGATATCGGCGACAGTTTGTGAGATTGGTAATTATGGTGGTGATGGTGGTGATATTCGTGATGATAGGCTTAGTTGTGGTTTGATGGATGGTGGTAACGAAAGTGATGGTTGTGAATTTTGAGGTTTTGATAAATGATGATATTCATCTTGATCTTGATAATGGTCATAGTCTTAGGCGATAAAGATGATAGTTACAATAATAGTATAGACCTATTCATGATATTAATAATAGTAATAATAAATATAAAACTGTAATTAATAGTATTCCATTAACATGATCAGCTTCTACAAGCAGAGAAGCTTAGCTCAGTCGGCTAAACTGGTGGTAGCCACTGTGCAGTGGCGTAGCTAGAGGTTTTGGCGCCCGGGACAAGAGTAGAAAATTGAGCTCCCCCCCCCCCCACCAATTATAATTATAATATTTTGAAATTAATTGATATTGGTTGTATAGACATAAGCATATGCGTACTGTGCGTCCATCGGGACGTCCATATAATGCACTGTCTAAATAACATTATTTTAACCCGAATAACTATTATTATTCTAGCTTTCGTATGTTCTTTCTTACCAGGGATGGGCCAGGATTTGCCCGAGGGGGTCCAATGTTGGGGGGGGGGATACCCACCCAACATTGGATACCTTTTCTTAAAGAGAGCAAAGTGGGCATGATCGAACGTCGCTTAAAATCTTCCGAAGGTGGCCTGGGGGGAGGGGGTGCGAAGCTCCCCAAAAATCTTTGACAATTTATGGGTTTCAAATGCTTATTTAATTAATTTACTAATCTACTAATATTTACAAAATAGGGCCTACATAATTTTTTTTCTCCCTAACGAATATGGGTTTTTCTCTTCGACGAAGGGGGGGGGGGAGGCGCAGCTATCCCCGAAGGGGGCCTTGGCGCCACCCCTGTTTCTTACTATTGAAACTGCATTACAATGTTAGGAACTTTGTATACAACTTTACCATTATCCTAATTTGTAAGGCTGTTGTATTTATCGCATCATATCTCAGTATTCTTATTTTCTAAATTTATCTTATAATAGAGTCTTGTAAGGTGCTGAATTTTTAACATTGTTTAAATTTGCAACTGAATTTTGTGTGCTTTGGTATCAACAAATAAGTTAATAACATGATCAAAGTTAGCAATGTTGTCTGCTTCATCATGCTCAATACTAAGTAGTACCAAAGCAGATAGTCTCGCTTTTCCCATCGTGGCTCTGAGAAATGGCAGGATGAGCTTTAGTCATGTAGTCATTACAGAATATGATAAAAAAAAACAAGAGAAAACGGTCGAAATGGACTGAAAAGAAATCAAAATCTATGAATTTGCCAATAAAAACAACTACATTCGGATTCTTATTAAAATATTCATGCCTGAAATACATCAATTTCGTCGTGTTTTTCTAAAAAGTGCTTATTTTTCTACTCTCATTCTCCCATTTCAGCGCCCCCTCAAACGTGGCGCCCGGGGCACGTGTCCCCCTTTGACCCCCTAGCTACGCCACTGCCACTGTGTGTGCGCTGAACTGTGGAGATTTTTTGGTCCCGTTTCAATTCCCATTGTTGCTCTCTTCTCTTCTTTAGAGCACATCGTCTTTCGGATGAGACGTTTTTAGTTGTTGGTCCCATGTGCACGTCAAAGAACGCGGTACACTTTTTTTTGGAAAAGAGAAGGGATTGTCTCCAGATGTAGGTCTCCTAGTTTATTTATTTATTTACTTTGTGAACATACGCCTTTAAATCGGCGGCACTCAAGGGTTGTGCGTTCAACTTAAATACAATATAATGAATCACTTAATTACAGTACAATAAATACAAATAAAACATAATTGACACAAACTTAAAAATAATCAGTGCACAAGAAAACCCCCACTGAAAATAAGTCGTCTTCTGACTTCAGTTCTATCATTTTTTCAATTTGAATTACTGAGTTTAAAGAAATAATCTTTATTTTAATTTTATTAAATAAAAACACGATAAAAAGCCAACTGACCAAAAACACACTTTTCAATAAAATAAAGATAAATAAGTAACACAAATTGATGGGGGCTCATACTTACCATAGGCAAGAGTTAATCAAGCTTAGAGAGCATGGCAAGGCACAGAAAAATACCCCAAAAAAATATGTATTCGTAAAAAAATAATTGTATTCGTACTATTCATTTCAGGTTTTGCAGCTAGCAAAGTGAAGATTGAATAAACAACAAATATTTATCTAAAATGACCATTTTATGTTATTGTATCATTATCATCATTGCCTTTGTCATCATCATTACACTATCATCATTATGATCAGGGCCTAATTATCATGGCATTCTTATTATCATATATTACCATTATTTTATTATCATATGAATATTTTTAATATCACCCTCAAGAATTAGGCCTACACATCAATTAAGGTTTCTGTAGTGGTTATGAGGTTTGAATCCATCTAAAACTCAATTTAACCATAGAGAATACTACAATTTGCATAAATATACTACACTATGAAACCATAAAATAGGCAGATTTCACAATTACAATCTGACGACCATTTGGTTTCTGATTTTTTTGACCTTTAAATAAAATTAGTGAAAATTCACTCTAGCCTCGTAACAGTAGCTAATGAGCAATCAGTGTGAACGGGCCAAGTGGACTGTCGATATAAACTGCTTGCAGTTCCTCATTGGCTTTGGTCAACATGCACTCAAGAAACAACAATGTTAAGCCACACTAATTGGTGCTTTATTGAGAAAACGTCAATGTTCCGTCCTTGTTTTAATTTGTTGGTAAAGCAGCTACACGTGACGCAGACAACCGATATACCATAAAACATCCTGGTCGTCGTCAAGTGCCCAAAATCAATTAGCTATTGAAGGTATGCAGAAAAAAAACTCGTATGGAAAATCTAATTTGTTATTATTACACATAATATTATAAAGGGCTGTCGGAATCGCACCGGCCACACCGGCTATGTCTGGACCACTTTTTTCTCTTTCATTTCATTTATTTCATTTTGGTAGGATAAAAAAAAAAACTCAATTTCTGTCGACAGTATTTTCCTCCGACAAGCGCATCAGTGACATTAATAACAGCATTAAATATAAAAAATAGGGCGCCTATAGTATATATATAAAAATATATTATAAAAATAGATATAGTAACATGGAAAAATACAACAGGAATAATCGAAATCATATCAAAAAAGAAAAGAAAAATTGCAACAAACTACCGTCCGATCTCACTTACGAATGCACATGGGTTTTTAAGCTTCTCGAGAAAATTAGGTGCAGTATGCTGATGCTAAGTTCATCTCAGAATCTTACTTTTACTTTTGAAAATAAATAGTGGTAAAAAAATATAATAACAACTGTAGGCCTAATACGGTATGAAATATTTTTGAAAACTAATGTAGTAAAGACAATAGTTGTTGAAATCATTTTTATATTACTGATTTAAAATAAATCGGTACTACTTTTGCGATTTTTTTTGCATAAGCCTATCTGGAAATATTCCAGTTTCAAAAGATAAATTGCATATATGGGCTACAGGTTATACAATTTCATTAATAACGGTGTTTAACCATGTGCATATCAATATTGTCGTACCCACATGAGTGTTTACATCTAATGCCTCGAACTTCATTTAAAACTTCCTCTGAGGTTACGCTGTT